TAACTCAGATGTGGTGGAAACAGCAAGAGAACCAGAATTAGGAGTGGAGCCTGAGATTGTGACTTAACTGCTGTCATCTCATGATAAAACTTAAATGTATAAGGAGCTGCTTCTGATGGATAAGCAAAGAAAGTGGAATCTGCTCCTGGTGAAGATGCTATGAAGACTGTTGAAATGACAACCAAGGATTTAGCATATTACGTAAACTTTGTTGATAAAGCAGTGGCTGGGTTTAGGATGACTGACTCCAATTTTAAAAGTTCTACTGTGGGTAAAATGCTATCAAACAGCATTGATGCTATAGAGAAACCGTAAAATGAAGAATTAACTGATATGGCAAACTTCATTGTTGTCTTATTTTAAGAAATTGCCACACTCACCCCAATCTTTAGCAAGTACCAGCCTGATCAGTCAGCATCCAGCAACAATGAGGCAAGACTCTCCACCAGTAAAATGATGACGACTTGCTGAAGGGTCAGATGATATCATTTGTTTGCAATAATGTATTTTTAAATTAAAGTGTATATATTTTTTAGACATAATGTTATGGCACTTAATAGACTACCATATAGTGAAAACATAACTTATATGTACTGTGAAACCAAAAGAATTGTATGACTCGCTTTATTAGGCTACCTGCTTTATATTTCAGTGGTCTGGAACTGAACCCACAATATCTTCAAGGTATGCCTGTATCAGGTGCAATTTCCAGCCTCAGGTGAGGAAGATAACTTCCTGTCCTTAAATAGTTTGGACTTTAATTCAGAAACTGGAAGTAGAGATTCATCATTTATTGCTATCACTTCATTAAGAGGAAATTTTCTGAGAGCTTCCTTTATATACCAAGTTCTGGGACAGAAAGATGAAGAAGAGACAGACATTGCTGTGGCTTCTAGGACATCTCTGACACGGGCAATATAATGTGCCAGTCTGACCTTGGAGGTCACTCACTCCAGGGGAAAATATATTTGTCATCTCTAAGATAAATCAACATTACTGTGAATCAATGAATGAATGGACCAATGAACCAACTCAAGATAAAACCAAATCCAAATGAATTCAGGGCTTCCTGTCTGTTTCTTCACCATTGGTCTAGCCCCCAGGGTAGCAGCCACAAGACATTTAAGGATGTGCTTACCTGTTCCTCCACAGGAGGTTCTTCTGTATTTAGAGGGATTTTTGATTCAACATCCTCCCACTGGGGAAGGTGGTTAGAGGTTGAGATGTCAGTGGCAATGCCACCATTCTGTACCTTGACACCATTCCTCCCCTGGTCGGCGGGAGGGACATGATGAAAGAAAAGGCTCTTCTGTGGCATAGGCAGAAACCAGGCCACTGCGAAAAGCCACAGAAACGCAGGTAAGAGAGATGACGTTCAGGCTGAAGAGGGACCAGCCTGCCACTGAGACGAGGATCTGCCCTAGCACGGAGCCCACCGTGAAGCCCACCAAGGTGGCACTTCGACAGTAGCTTGTAACTTTCTGGTACATGCTCAGGTCTACCACACTGTAGATATAGGAATAATAGGCAATTTCAGTGGCTGTAGCGATGCCATAGAAGAATTCCAAGAACTGAATGGCCAGCAGTCCCTGGGCGTAGAGCAGCATGAACCATGTAACAATAAGGCTGAGTCCCTGCAGCAGAACCACAGGTTTGTAACGGAGGTAGTCGGTGGCAAGGAACACGGGAAACAGCAGCACCAGGTAGGAGTAAGTCCATACTGGATAAATTTCATTTAAGACCTGATGGAAAAAGGATAAAATCCCATTAGTGATATCAAAGGAACTGGAATAGTCGTAACAGTTTATTCTTACAAAACAATCTACTGATACCTCAAATATCTCATCCTTATCAACCAAAGGTATCAATCATTCTGATGATTGTTGGAAATGTACTTCCTGTTTCCACCGCATCATTTTTCTCCTAGTAAAACCCTCCCTGTTCAGCAAGGTCTGGTTCAACGCCTTCCTCATCCCGGACAACTTTGTTGCAGCTGACAGTATTTGTATCCAAAGCTCTTTTGATGTTGCTTTCTTTCTATGTGCCAGTTTCCCCAGTTACCTCATAGGACTGGTTCTTAGCCATGGCTACACATCTCCCAAGGAGCTTTGAAAACTTTGGATGCCCAGCCATAGATATTTTTTAAAAACCTCCTAGGACATTTTAATATGAGCCAGAGTTGAGAACCATTGCCTAACAGATTCTCGCAGGGTGGACTTGACTTTCATGTGCACAGCCTAGTAACCAGCACACTCTTTGGAAGACACTTGGCTCAATAAATGCTTTGGAAACAAATACATGCCCTAGAATCGTTGTCAATTCTTACTTTTAGCTACAGAATGGGGACCCTTGATCCTACTGTTTGATTAGGTTTCTATGATTTTACTGTTTAAGTTTCTATGATTCTAAGTTTTATTTCTTTGGGGAAATAGTAATAAAGAGGGTAAACCTGTCCTACAGTCTTAACAGAATAACTATCTGTGGATGGTAGCATTATAAGCAACTTTGAGGTCCTTCTCTTTGCTTGTCTGTAATATGAAAAAATACGAAGGTTTTGTTGTTTCCTTCTTCATTAATTTTTCAGTGGAAGATAGAAATAATCTTAAACCACAAAGACCCCAGCTGGAATTTTAGTTCCATCATTTGCTGTATTAGAAACAAGTTATTTATTTATTTTTTTCCAGTTCCTTTTAGCCTTAATCTCCATTATCAGTAAAAGAGAAGTAAAAATTATGCCATAGTGTTTGTTGCAAGGATTAAATGAGAGAATACATGTAAATCACTCACTCCACTTCATTCATAGGTCTAAAGACTTAAGGACTAAAGCTGAAACACAGACCACGTGGGACATTAGGAATTAAATTAATGGAACTCTCACCTTCATTCTTGCAATAACACTCATTGTAGGGGACTTTTCCCTCTTCTAACACCTACCCCAGAGTCTAGCTAGTTCCTGGGGGTTTAAGTAAGTCAGTTTTTTAAGCGATCATTTCAAAGTCTGGCTCAGTGGCCCCAGTTTGTAAGTGCTTCCTGAAATGCAGTCTTGCTAACAGGCTAGATACTTTGCAATGGAGCAATCTAATCCTAGGCTCTGACAATCTAAGACCAAAGGTAAATTTCTTTTTTTAACTCTCATGTATACCTCATTTCACCTATGTATAAAGTGGACTAGTTGTTTTACGGCTTTAGAGGAACAGTAAAATAAAAAATTATTATAAAATATTTTGCAAGTATAGAGAACAACTATAAAAGTAAGATATAATCTGAAATATATTCCAGACTTGATTTCTGACTGCTGACTGGCCAAATATCAAAAGTGATTCATCTAATAGCCTCACTTTCATGAATTTTGTTTTCAGTTGTGTTCATAAATCATTTAGTAACTTCCACTTAGGAAATTTTCTTGCATCTGAATTTGTGAATGAACAAATAATCAAGGGCTGTACAAGTGGTTCTTCTTCACAAGTCTGAAAATTTTAGCAAATGCAGAACAAAGTGCACTCAGCTGACATGACACAGGGAGAGACGGTCTCTCAGTAGAAAACCAAAGGGGATAAGGGCAACCTTGAGATGAAAGCCCTGAAGAGTGAAGGCTTCCTTACAGACTTTTCACAGTTGTGTTCCATTAGCAACTTTCCACTCCTTTTTCTGCCTGCAATTTTACAGATATTCTCCTACAGTTTTAAGTGTGAAACTGCCTCCACTGTTGGAACTGCATGTTCCTTCACCTTCACATTTTCCCCAACACAATGTCACTAAGCCATGAGCCATCACGCCCTTCCTTTAAAAATATCTTCCCACAGTTCCCTATCTTCTTTTGTTTTCCACCACACCCCTTGGGACTTAATCATTGAGTCTTCACTCCAGTAAAATTGCCTATACATAGACATGTGCTGTACCTTTCAATAACAGTTGTCCCAAAAGAATGAACTGCCAAGTTTTCATTATAAAAAATCTCAGCCTTTCCGTTATCAATTTAAAGTATTTATATTGATGAGCCTAATTCTACTCCTAATACAAAACCTCAATTTAGATAATGAAGATGAGGAAAAAGCAATGCCAAGTAGAAACAAAGCAAGTGGGAGGATAAAGACCAGACGGGTTCTCTTTAACTTATTCTAAATAAGAAATCTGAATTTACTTCTGGGAGAGAGATCAACCCAGGATGAATGTCCCTTTCACAGTATTATCAGCATTATAACAGCAAATCTCTACTCATGTGCTATACACTATGGTGATGACCTTACCTACATTACCTCACTTAATCCAAACAACCCTAGGAGATAAATGCTTTTATCCTCTCTATTTTACAACTGAGGAACCTGACCTTAGGTGAATTGCCCAAAGTCACCCCAGCTAGTCATTGTCAGAGGGAGGATCTGAACCTAGATCTTCTGAATCCAGCACACTAAAATGCCTCATTTCTTTAGCCAGAAAACTCTTACTGATCATCTACTATGTTCTAGGCTTACTTCCAATGCTGGCAGCAGCTTTTTCAACCTGCAAAGGGGTGCTTTCATAGGGCATCCATGAATACAGAAGACCAGACAATTTCCAGAGCTTAGCCATGGGGTCTCCAATAGACCCCTTCTTTCTCAGTGAAGCTGTTATGCCAGGAAATGCTTCTTTGATGAGCACTTTGAACCCTGAAGAGAAACCTTCCACACGCAAAAATGTACGGATTGCAGACTTAATTGTCCATACCTGGACAATACCTTCTTATCTCAGGTAAAATCTGCCACATGAGCAAAGGGAATTGATTTTATTCTAAGGTGCCTTTCACAGCTCTTTGGATCAGAGCTTGTTTGAGCTTTCTTCTAAGTTACAAAAAAGTCAAGGGAAAACAATGTTCAGTTTTAATCTCTATTCAATCAGGCCAATCAAGTTTCAATTAAACAACTAGTTAATGAGTACAGACCAGTGGATGAGACTGGATATGCTGGACTTATGACTGTAAGATTAATGTAGGTGGAGCTTGGGCATGTAGAAGGCCAGGGGAAGAAGGAGGTAGTAGGAGATAAGGCTGTTAAGGAGGCAAGAGCCAAATTCTGTAAGGCTCTGAATGTCAGGAAGCATAGTTAAAAATATCTTTTTATTGAAGTATAGTTGATGTGCATATTACTTAAGTTACAGGTGTACAGTATAGTGATTCACAATTTTTAAAGGTTATATTCCACTTATAGTTATTATAAAATATTGGCTATAAATTGTACAATATATCCTTATAACTTATTTTATACTTAACAGTTGTACCTCTTAATCCCCTACCCTTATGTTGCTCCTCTCCCCACTGGTAACCACTAGTTTGTTCTCTATATCTGTGAGTCTGCTTCTTTTCTGTTATATTTGCCAGTTTGTTGTAGTTTTTGATTCCACATATAAATGATATCCTATAATATTTATCTTTCTCTGGCTGACTTACTTCACCTAGCATAATGCCCTCAAAGTCCATCCATGGTGCTGCAAATAGCAAAATTTCATTCTTTTTATGTCTGAATAGTACTCCATTGTATGTATATACCACATCTTTATCCATTCATCTGTTGATGGACATTTAGGTTGCTTCCTATCTTGGCAATTTTAAATAATGCTGCTATGACGCTATGAACATTGGGGTACATGTATCTTTTTGAATTCATGTTTTAGTTTTTTTGTTTTTTTTTTATATACCCATGAGTGGAATTGCTGGGTCATATGGTAGTTCTATTTTTAATTTTTTGAGAAACCTCCACACTGTTTTTTACAGTGGCTGCACCAATTCACACCAACAGTGTATAAGAGTTCCCTTTTCTCCATATCCTTGCCAACATTTGGAAGAACAGTTTTAATGTTTAAGTTTAATGCTTTAAAATTTTCAAATAAAGGTAGTGAATGTCCCAAATCACATGCTGAAAAAGATGAAGGGATAAAAAAGTTTTAGGCTATAAATAGCTCTATTTTATTTAAAGTTTGGCTTTCAACTATTGAAATATGGTCAAATTTTAACCTGTTTAAAATTTATAAAATGATACCTAAAACAGGTTAATGGTTTTCCTGAAATCTAAGAAAAAAAATTTTGAGATTGTTAAAAAGAAATTCTGTCCTTTTCCCTCTCCTTTTGTCTTTTGTTTTGGTTAACAATACCTTTATTTAAGATGATACCACTTAGCCCTTCTAAAGTCTTCTAGGGGGAAATACAAAGTTCAATACAAATACTACTGACCATGATTTGACATTCACTTTGCTCAAAAATCATGTGATATTAAATAAGTAACTGTCCATTGGTGAAATCAAGCACTCAGTCAGGAATGAGAACAAGTTGTCCTATTCATTTTAGTTATCAGATATTCAAAAAATCTAGGGTTCCAGAGAGGGTAGACAGAGCCAGACGGTGCACGACCAACAGAATGGGCCATGATTCTGAGGTCCTCAGAGACAAATGACACCAGGTTTCTCTTCAAACCCTACCCTCTTCATCTAATTTGCAGTAACAGAAGTGTGCTATGTTTTTGTTACACAGTCAGCAAATATCTCCTGGGCCTGGTACCCCTGCTTTATTCCTATGCCCCCTGAACATATTCCGCTTGCCCTGGAAGCTGTCCGATAAGACAGGGCACATGATGGCACATCTCACAGCAATCCTGCCCAGGGCACTTGGACAAAATAGATCAGCTTTCAAATAGCAACACTGAGAGTGTGTTCCTCCCCTGTGTGCTTTTCCTCCAGGCGAGGTACACAAACTGTGCAGATCACATGGCAGTTCCCAAGAAACTTTAATTGTTAGCAGCCCACAAGGAGCACCACTTCTGTTCAGTGGCTACACCTCAGATTTAGTGGTTGTTTTGGGTCTCCAGAATCATTTTCTCTCATATTTACTGCAGTGATTTTCTTTCTTTCTTTTTTTTTTAATTGAGGTTTGGTTGGTTTACAATGTTGTGTTAATTTCTGGTGTACAGCACAGTGATTCAGTTATACATATATATGCATTCCTTTTCATTAGGCTATTACAAGATACTGAATATAATTCCCTGTGCTATTTGTAGGACCTTGTTGTTTATCTATTTTATACATAGTAGTTAGTATCTACTGCAGTAACTTTCTTCTTGCAGAATCGTTCTGTTCCCAAGAGTTGGCCCTTTCCATTTTATTATTGTTTTGAACCAATATTACAATTTAAATCCGTAATGAATAACAGTTACAGTTCCTTGTGGACTGCTCCGTAAGACCAAGAAGTAGAAGATCTGAAGTTGGGTAAAGGTCAGTGCTACTTTCTAGTGGCAAGACAACGTGAGAAACTCAAGTGAAATCCTCAATCCAGGGTTCAAACACTGACTTCCAATTCTCTGTTAAGTGCCCTTGAAAATGGACAAGCAGTGCAACCACAAACTGGACTATGAGTAATTAATCCTACTCTGACCTGTTATGCAGGGATACTGAGTTGCTACTCAAAAGAGGTGACTACTAATTACACCAAGAAGAGTAAGGTTTAAATGGGAGGAGTGTTTCATAGCCACTGGGGCAGGAGGCAGGGTGGGAGGAAAAGTAGACACAGGGAAAAAGGAACAGCTAATAAGTGCCCACTCAGCTTTCACCCTTTGTAGTGTTGAAGGGAGAGGATGCTGAATCTGCTTTATTTGGATTCTGTTGTAGCACCTTGAGTTTAATTCCTTTTTCAATTAATACGTCTTTCTTGAAAAAAAAAAAAAAACAAGTGTTGAGATCAGCCATATATTTCAAAGAGTTAAGCACATTTTTAAAGTATACAGTGTACTTCTGAAGTACTTTACTTATAAATCCTCCTACGGAAAATCAAACAGCAAGAAGTTCTTGATCATGGACTATGTACTCTCAATTACTCTGAACATCACAGCAGAACAGAAAGGAGCAAAACTGACACCTGTATAGCAACAATTCACAACGCAAGAAAAACTGTAAAAGTGCCAACTGTGTGGTACCATCTAAGTATCTGCTTTTATCCCAGGAGGTGGAGGTCGGGTTGGGGAAGCATATCCTTCGACACAGCCTCACCCAGTTAAAAATCAAGACAAGATGATAGATTCTTGTTGTCCTGTATTGTCCTTATTTGAGAACATCCGTCTTGTCAAAGGTTAAAGAAAGTAAGGTAGAAGGAAGAGGGTGCAGCAGGTAGAGGGAAGATCCTTTCAGAAAGCAGGGGTTACTCCGCATCTGGTTCCTTACTTTCAGGCAGCAAATATTTATTTAAACCTTTACCATGTCCAAAGTACAACTTACTGTTTTCGCTTTTTTATCCAAAATTCTCCTCCTTCCCTCCCCCGCCCACAAGCAAGAACTGCTGGATCAGTGTAAGCAGAGTGGGGGCTAAGTTACTTTACAGCATCATCAGCACCATCATCTGAAACACACGTGCACTGGGGCTCCCGAGCCGCTTTCCGAGCCCTTCACATAAGACGTGCCCCATAAATCAAGGCACGACAGAAAAACAGCATGAATTAAGATAGATAGAGCCCAGCACCGGCATAGAACTTTACCCGGAACGGCTCACGCGGCTCGAGCGCCTTTCCTTTCTTCCTTCCCTGAGCCGCATCCCCTCCGCCCGCTCCCACCCACCCCAGCACACCTCCGCCCGCCGCGCCCCCCGCCGGCCCATCCACCGCCCGCCCGCCGCGCCTACCTCCCTCTTCGTCAGGTTCTTGTCCGGCCCAAGCAGGTAGGGCGTCAGGAAGGGCTCGGAAGGCCTGAGGTTGGCGAAGAAGCCGTAGGCGCAGAGCAGTGCTGTGGGCAAGAACC